TGAGGCCAAGGAGATTGTTAGCAAGTGTCCCTTAACTAATGAAGGCTTTAACACAGCCTGGAAGCATCTCTGTGATAGGTACGAAAACAAGAGAATCTTGGTCAATACGCAATTGAAGATTCTTTTCAATTTGAAGGCGGTCGAAACTGAATGTGGAACATCGATCAAAAGGTTGCAAAGGGATATCAACAATTGCATATCTGCCTTAGAAAGCCATCAGATCGATATTTCAAATTGGGACCCAATAATAACGTACTTATGTTCTACACAACTGCCTGAGGTGACACTTTCGCTGTGGGAACAATCGGTAGAGAATAAAACTGACATTTCCAAGTGGACAGATATGGATCGATTCCTTTCAAATAGGTTCCAAACGCTAGAATCAGTCACAGGTTTAAGAGGAATCATGGCTTCAAAACCACCAAAGGTTCCGAACTATAAGCATTCCTCTGAACCTTCGCATAAGAGACTTGGCGCATTTCAAACAAGTGTCGCTAAATATATGTGCAAAATGTGCCAGAGTAACGAACATAAGATTCATCTGTGTCCAAGTTTTCGCAAATTATCCGTAGACGACAGGGTTGCTTTCGTAAAAACCAATAATTGTTGTTTTAACTGTCTCGCCTTTGGACACTTGGTATCGAAATGCACTAGTTCGTTCAATTGCGCCACTTGCCATTCTCGACATCACTCTCTCCTACACGTTCAAACAGCACCTCCAAAGGCAACATATAGGAATGACATTTCTGAACCTTTGGACACTTCAGCGTCCACATCCAGACAGGCTCAAATGCGACGCGAATCTACAAAAGGCAAAGGCAAAACTGTTAATAAGGTAAAAACACATCACGCTAACACAAGCAAAGGTGTATTTTTGGGTACAGCTCGTGTAGGCATTCATTTTAATGGCACGAATTTCGCAGCGAGAGCACTAGTTGATTCGGGCTCTGAGTGTTCTTTCATTACGGAAAGGCTCAGACGCAGAATCAACCTGCCGACCAAGAAAATGCATGCCCAAGTTTCGGGCATCAACAATACGGTTTCTGCGCAGGTGAAAGAATCATGCTCAGTTCAACTTAATTCACCCATTGATCCACTGATTTCGATAGAAGTGATGATGTTAGTTTTACCCAGACTTACTGGAAATCTGCCAATATGCCACATCAGCGCACTCACGCAGCAAGCTTTTCCAGATCTTGTCTTGGCGGATAAAAGGTTCTTCATAAACGAGCAAGTCGATCTTGTTCTAGGTGGAGACATCTATCCCCAAATTATTTTAGGCGGTATCCGAAAGAATGTTCTAAGTACGCTATTAGCTCAAGAGACAGTATTCGGTTGGATACTGACGGGTCGGGCAGACTCAGACAATCCAACTACTAATCGCGTATCTTTCTTCAATGAAGTGGCCCTGGATAAACAACTCAGCACTTTCTGGGAGTTAGAAGACATCCCGAGAGACAGGATAATGACAGCGGAGGAAAAGCAATGCGAGGAGCTCTACAAACGAACGACAAGGCGGAATCAAGATGGAAGATACATCGTGTCTCTTCCATTTAAAGACAAATCCAAAGTCACATTAGGGCCTTCACTGAAAATAGCATTTTCCCAGTTCTACAAAAACGAAAAACGGTTAGAGAAAAATCCTGAGTTGCAAAAGGAGTATAATAGAGTAATCATGGAGTATGAATCCATGGGCCACATGTCGAAAGTAAATTCAATTCAGTCAGCAGATTCCGTAGACAACTATTATCTACCTCATCATTCTGTGATAAAAGCAGAGAGCACGTCAACAAAGGTGCGTGTAGTTTTCAATGCGTCTTCTCCAACAGCGAATGGTGTCAGTCTGAACGATGTTCTTTTGCCAGGACCCGTGCTTCAGTCTGACCTGACAATATTAATTCTTCGCTGGAGACTTTTCAAATACGTCTTCAATAGCGATATTGAGAAGATGTATAGACAAATTCTGTTAGATTCCAATCAGACCAAATACCAACGGATAGTTTTCCGGCCTTGCCCGAACGATCCCATCAGCCTTTATGAACTAAAGACTGTGACTTTCGGCGTGAACTGTGCTCCTTATCTTGCAATAAGGACATTGCTGCAATTATCTCATGATTCTGAGAGCTCTTATCCGATAGCCTCGAAGATTTTGCGCAAATACATGTATGTCGATGATGTGCTCGCTGGCAGACACACCATCGACTCTGCGTTAAGAGCTCGAGATAAAGTCATCACTGTTTTACAAACAGCCGGTTTTCCTCTGCGAAAATGGACTTCGAACTGCAGCCAAATACTACAAGGCATTTCAAAATCACATCTGTTGAGTGAAGACTTTTTGGAGTTCGAGGACACTAGCAGTATGAAAGCGCTTGGTATAAGATGGAACGCTCACTCTGATCAGTTCTATTTTATAGCCAAGTCTATCGAAAACCACGAGAATCTTACAAAGAGATCGATACTCTCAGATATCGCCAAACTCTTTGATCCACTTGGATGGCTAGCACCGATAATTGTCGTTGCGAAGATACTAATGCAAAACATCTGGTTAGAGGGTACTGACTGGAATGAGAGTTTATCTCGAACAACATTAGACAGATGGCAGACTTTCACGAAAAACTACAACGAAATCAACAACATACGTATTCCTCGATGGGTAGAATTCTCGCCAACGGAGAAAGTCGAAATTCATGGATTTGGTGATGCATCCGAAAAGGCATACGCGACTGCAGTCTACTTGCGTGTGGAACGAGACAAACGCACTTTTGTCAATTTGCTGTTGGCAAAAACTAGAGTTGCACCAGTAAAAACAATTTCCTTACCCCGATTAGAACTTTGCGGGGCGGTATTACTGGCAGAAATCATCGAATCGGTCATCAATAATCTCGACTTAGGCCACTTGCAGATACACCTTTGGACTGATTCCACTATTGTTTTGGCCTGGATCCACAAACTCCCATGTTCTTGGTCTACATTTGTAGCCCATCGTATTATCAAGATAATCGACAAAGTGGGAAACTTGAATTGGCACCACGTGGACTCAGCAACAAATCCCGCAGACTTGGCGAGCCGAGGCATACTAGCGCAAGAATTGGTCAACAATTCGTTGTGGTGGCAGGGACCTTCTTGGCTGCAAGAAGATAAAGAAAAATGGCCAACACAAGACACAGACTTTACCACAAACATTGAAGATAAACGGGTGAACGTTCATACAACAACAACGAATGACAACACAAATGATATTCTTGGCCGATTTTCTAGTTTACCAAGAGCTTTGAGAGTAATATCTTACGTGTTAAGATTCTCTCAAAGAACTCATCCGAAAACAAAAGCTTCAATTCAGCCGGAATCTTACTTAATTTCAGCCGATGAAATTAAGGCAACGACAACCCGCTTAATAACAATCTCTCAGAAGCAACACTACGGACTGGAAATCGCGAAATTAAAATCTGGAGGACCGATCGATGCGAAAAGCGAAATATTGCCCTTAAATCCTTTCATCGACAAGAACGGTGTATTGAGAACAGGCGGTCGTCTTGGCGCATCTCTCGATCTGGCATACAACGAACCTTACCCAATCATCCTTCCGTATAATTGCAGGTTATCACGTCTGACTGTCCAATTCGTCCATGATGTCTCACTCCACGGTGAAAACCAACTAATGCTGCGTCTCATCCGAACGCAGTATTGGATTCTGAAGGTCAAAACTATGATAAGGTCCATCATCTACAACTGTAAGGTCTGCACGATCTTTAAGAAACGCTCGCAAAATCAGCTGATGGGTATTCTTCCATAGGAACGATCAACCTATTCACGGCCATTTACCAACACAGGAGTGGATTTCACTGGGCCTTTTGATATAAAAAGTTACCGCGGCCGCGGTTGCCGTATTTCAAAAGGTTGTGTTTGCCTGTTTGTTTGCTTTTCTACCAAAGCCATCCATTAGAGGCCACAAGCGACTTAAGTACAGCTTCCTTTCTAGCAGCTTTTAACAGATTCGTTGCCAGACGAGGGTGCCCAAAAAACGTCTATTCAGACAACGGGACAAACTTTGTTGGAGCGTCACGAGCACTTAAAACCGAACTCAAAGCCTTCATAGCTGATGCTCGCACCAACGCTCTATCAAGGTTTGCCCATCAAGCACTGTCTTGGCATTTTATACCGCCTGCGGCGCCGCACATCGGTGGTCTGTGGGAGTCAGGAGTAAAAAATTTTAAAACTCACTTTAAAAAGATAGCCTCAGGATGTACATAAATATACTTTCGAAGAACTCAGTACGCTCTTATGTAGAATTGAGGCGTGTCTCAACTCCCGACCTCTGAGCCCAGCCTCAAACGAGCCAACTGATCTGGAGCCCCTCACTCCAGGCCACTTCTTAATCGGTGGACACATTTTAGCGCCACCAGAAATCGATGTAAACGAAAACCCTGTATCGATAGTTAACCGGTGGCAAAAGCTAAAAGCATTACACCAGCACTTCTGCAGAAGATGGAAGACCGAATATCTCACAGAACTACAGAAACGCTTAAAATGGAAGCGTCCTCAATCCAACGTAGAACTTGAAGATCTAGTCGTTATAAAGGAGGACAACCTACGGCTTAACGAGTGGAGACTGGGAAGAGTGGTAAAGTTGCACCCAGGTTCCGACAACCGAGTGCGCGTAGTTGATCTTATGACCGAAAAGGGGGGAGTGACAAGACCACTGGTGAAACTGGTACTATTACCACGCAACATGGTGAAAACTAATGAACCAACAGCTTCTACGTAATCAATGTCAAGTGTAAACCTTTAGGGTTCTTAAAAATAAAAAAATTATCAAAATTTACTGAATTCCACTTCTGCTACTCCTATCATATCCCACCTCATTAGTATGCTCACATTAAAAAAAAAAAACATAAAATCTCAATAGCAGCAAATAAGCGGAGATTGCCAATTTGTTAAACAATATGATCCCAGATGAATTAGTAAGAGAGTTTATTTTTCGCAGAATAATCTTTTCACAACAACGCAAATGTGCAAATGAAATTCAAAATTTTAAACAATCACTGCCAAACATTCTTACTACTTCACCTGGTATAGCTGCATCAGGGACAAACAACAGTATACATACTTATGCATAATCAGGAGACAACTTACCGCAACTCCCACTGAGCTCCTGGAGTCTTTGTTGTCAGCTTCGAGTGAGGAATCAATTCACTTCAGTTTCGGGAGCTCATCCATTTCGAATACTTGGTTGGCCAGTTGATCACCCGCATACTCAGCGGCAGGCTACCAACATTATAGCATTCAATTGTCATCAGATTTTTTTTTCGATTTTCGTTTAACACTCTTTGCTTAACCTTGTTCTGTAGTTAACTTAGTTGTTTAGGCACACCACTGTCTAGAAATTAAACTTAATCACCCTGATTACAAATTCTCGTTCACCGTGCAGTTCAAATCGCTACACGGATTTTCTTTGCTGATCACCCCCTGTTGCACGTAAACACTATAACGCATGGATTTATCTGGGACTGCTTCAACAGCATTTAATAATTAATATTTAAAAATAATTAAGATCCAGCATTTGTCATAATGGTAATATACGTGCGGAAATTCCTGCAAATCGTGTTTACCAAATATAAACAGCAGTTGAGTAAACGAATAGAATCCTGGTTTTCGTTTTTATATTATCAGCCATACTTATGATCTTCACGAATATAGGTGTATGTGTATGTACGCACAACATTTTTTATATTAGCTTCCACGTTAACCAAGAAAAAACAAGTAAATAGTAAAATCAATTCTGATTTAACGAGAGTGTTTTAAAGCCAAATTAATTGTTAGTGAAATATTCTACAGCTAATACCCTGACATAGCCTTTAAAATGAGAACAACACTGTATGAACTATAAATATTTACTGTAAAATGTAGCTAGAGGCTGCAATTTTTATTTTTAAATGCACTTTTCACAATATATTTTCAATAAGGTAAATTATGTAGTACACATTACAAAAAAGAAAATAAAATGTTAGCAATAATATTAGAAGTACAATTTAAGACGTTCGTGTGTATTTTAACTTTGTTGCTTGGAATTAACAATCTATTTTTCACTTAATAATGAGTACACCATTAGTAGTCGCCATTTGAGTTAGGTATATGTTGGCGGTTTTGTTCTCGCTAGAACGCTCGAATATCGCGCTTTTATATCGGTTGTAAACTCAGGAATCTTGAGCGTATCTGCGGCATTTCCTAGATAGTTGGCTTCGCCTTCATCATTTTTGGGGTGCCGCAATAAGCATTTTTTCTTTTTCAAAAGGGAATGATACCCTAGTACGTATTTTTCTCGTGGCTCAGTTGCCCATTGCCTATTTTTTGTTTTTAAGTTATGCATTTGCGGGCACTGGAAATACTTTATCAACGTAACTAGTTGAACAATACTTATATTGCCACTTAAGTATGTAGATCAATTGATCTTTATTAATAGGTATAATTACGCGCACACAACCGAAACCGATATTGCTTTGCTTCCCCGTGTTTTGTGAATGACAGCGGCCATTCACGGAAATAGGAAACGTAGCCCACAAAAAATCCACATACGTCCCACAAGAAGCACGGTTACCTTCTCTCCAGCTTTATGCCGTAGCACACTAGCAATTTTAATCGATCAAGTTTGCGCAAACTTTCGCTAAAACTGGTTCAGAAAATTGCATGTAATCCGAAAATTATACTTAAATAGATCAAATAAACTCCTCACATTACAATATCGCGGGCCTGTAAGTTAACATTACTAGTCTAATTTTTTTTTTGAGCATAAAAAATATATTTCCAAAAATACCATAAATTGCATGCTGTAATAGGTGAATCTTCTGGCAATATTAACCCTTAGGTGAGCAACCAACAATTCGGCCATGCAACCCTGTCGACACTTATGATCCAAACGTAAAGCGAGCTGCACACGATCAGTGCACTCGTCAATCATTAAGGGGTCATAACACTATCGAATGTTTACGTCAGCAAGATCAAAACTATGCAAGAATGATAAAATATTAGAAGTTTGAGATTGAAAACGTACTTAATACCCATTTATATTGCTCGTCAACACAAAATGTTCTTGTCTTGCGCCATATTCCTAACCTGATCGGAATAACATTATTTGCAGGAAAAATGACTCGTTACTCGGCAATGCGCAAACGTACAGAGGCGGTGAGATACTCCCTAACGTGCAGGTTCTGCGGCAATAAGCACCCAATCAGGCTTTGTCCTGTATTTCGGGCTAAGGCACCTGAAGACCGGTTACGCGATGTCTTATTGCATCGGTATTGCTCCAACTGCCGAGCCGGGACCCATCGAGCCGCCCACTGTACAAATGAGGGTAGATGTCGACGCTGCCAGGAGTCTCACCACACACTACTACATATCGACGACGCAGCCGAAAAGCGCACGAGTCGTCGCCCCACTCGGAGCGCTGCCAACGATGATGACGACAGCGATAACAACAAAGACAGCGATGTAATATCGATCGAAGCCTCAGAAGTCGAGGAGGAGGAGGTAGTGCAAACTGGAGCGGAGACCGATGCTTTCCGCCAGATACTTCGGCCGGAATGGAAACGTATGCTTTCCATCCGGATAACGCAAGCGGATCGGAACCTCGGCGTTTCCGACCGCTACTACAACACGAGCTCCAACGGCCGGGTTGGGAAGTTGCAGAATACCGACCTCCTCCCACTTGGCAGGGAACACAATCCCGACGTCGGCGAAACCGTCCGCGACAACATGGGAGAGTGGAGTCGAACGCATTCCACCGCCCAATGAGAAGCGGTTTCCGAACCGGGCTAGCAACGAACCCGCAAACAGCAACATACGCGCTTCA